TCTCTCTCTCTCTCATTTACTGGCAACATTAGTTTGGGACGCTAAGAAATAACATGGTTTCGGAAGAATCTTGTGAATAATGAAACTTTAAAAATAGTAAAACATTCAATATTTTTATTGGTTTCTTGGACCTGATCTTTAGAACAATAAAAGAGGGGGAACTCTGGGCTACTGGGAACAGACTGGGGCACAGAGGCAGAATGGAAGCGATCAATACTGCGAGAGCAGCCATCAAGGAGTTAAAGCAGGCACCCCCCTCCCCCCCCCCAAAAAAAAGAGGCCTTCAAACTAATTTCACACTGAAAGTGATGTTTAATTTGAATCATGCTCTTCCCAAAGGGAAAAGGTTAGTCTCATCACTGGGCTGAGCTCCTCCTCCCCCTTCTCCTTTCATACGAATTGAAAATTCAGATTAACCATTAATCATGATGTGACACATTCTTTTCTTCCTGATCCAAAAATCAAATGAAAGCCTGGGACCACATCTGAGAACCCATGGGCTGGCCAGTCCTCCCAACCGACGTACGTGCACAACAGAGAGAAGACAAGAACAAGGGCACATCACGTACACAGAGAGGTGCACTCACAGCGAGACACACAGATACAGACAGCTATTCACAGGCATTGGCTCCGGGAGCCTCTTCACTTAGATTGATTTTTGCATATTTGCAAATGTAAAATTAGTCATAGTACATAACAACAAGGGCGAGACTGACATGAAATCTGTCAACATCCTGACAAACACTCTGAGCATGCGTACGTTACGGATGACACTTAAGCAAGTCATCGTTCCTAAAAGAGAAAATGATTATACGCTAGCCAAAACCCTAAGTACAAGCTAAAGATATTCACCTCATGAAGCCATTCCTCAACTAGCCCCTTGGCACTTGCTGGAATTACTCGGAGCACGAGCTCTACTTTCTCATTTTCTGCTGACTCCATGTGGGTAATTTCTTTCTCATGATTAAAAGTGAGCTTGGCAGATCCTCCAAAGCGTGGCTTTAGGTGTGGTGGGGTTCCGGGTGCATCCTTTGTCTAGTAATTCACTGCTGGACCGGCAGGTCAGGGGGATATTCACACACCTACAATGATTTTTTAAAATGCAACCTTTAATAGATATCTTTATATAAACATATTTTTATACTGCAACATGCAGCTGACAGATGAAATGAACTGTTTACCTTGGGAAAGAATAGGCAGGCTTTCTCTTCCAAACAATCGCTCCGGCCTTTCTGAATGTCATCCAAACGCGATTCTGCCTCGTTCGACTTATCCAGCATCTGAGGCTGTGAGATAACCCTCGTAGCACTGGCCTCCTTCCCTGGCCCCTTCATTATTAGCCTCCTGGTGGGTGAGATAGAATACAGTGAATGTAATAACCGTACTTCACACAACAGGCTCGCTCTCTCTTTTAAATTGAAAATCCCCTTATTACAAAACAAGGGGTGTTCTTTTTCTTCTACCTTTAAGTAGGACTGCCACATTCATTGCCTTTTACAAAAACGCAGCTGCTTTTTAAGCTACAGATAAATAGAATCTGCTAGGCGGTAATTCGACTCAGTCTGAATGCATTATTTTCTAAGACACTTTGGCGAAAGGCTTTTTATTATTAACTGGAATGAACAAGGAAAGTCCTTTTCTTTTCTAATTATGAATGTGTTTTGTTCCCTACTATTAACCTATAATGTCAGATTGATCATATTCTTCTTCTTTTTCTACAGCCAGCTCAATAAATCAACATTTTTCTTTCTGGAAAATTAGAGGGCTGATGATTAAGTCTTCATGAATTCCAGTAACAAAAAATAAAAATAGCATAAGGGAGAAGCAAATACACACACTGTAACCATAAATACAGACAAGGCAGTGGCCCTTGGATGTCTAAGGTAATGACACGAAGAATGAAGATAAAGAGCATCTACTTATTAATTTCATATTAGTTTATTTAGTTTTAATGAAATTAAGGTTTTCTGGGCATTTTGATAAAGTTGATCTTATATTTATTCAGCTGAAAAGAAAGGATATGGTAAAACCATAACATTTCTATATAGAGTTCCCAAGCCTCTGTGTTTGTTTAGTTGTTCATTATGTGTGGTAGCTGGTATTCCTACCGGTCACCCCTCACTTCCGGAAGCAATGTCATGAAGAATTACAACCAAAGAGGAAACACCGTGAAGGAGGAAGGGTCTTCAATTTGAATTTCTGCTGACATCTCTTTAACTCCAAAGATAAACACTGAGAAAAAATGGTGAGCTCTTAATAATATCAAAAAGCCCAGCCTAGAAACTCCACTAGCTGAGGTATTGTTTTAATTTTGATGCCAACTTTGATATTTCTTACCATAACATTACAATAGGCCACAGTGGCTATGCTCTATGTCCATGTGGATATATTGCCTTGTCAAGGGGTGGAAATCCCTCAGGGGACCAGTGGGGTTCCAATTAAGAAAATATAAATACTGCTGCAGCTCTGACAATAAGTGGAGTTTGCCAGTATATCACAGAGGTACAGGCAGGTGCCCACTACTAAACTTACAGATGGAAAGCCGAGGCTGCATGTCCCTTCCCAAAACACTAATGGAAAGCAAAGTGTTGAAGGTGAACTGTGTGTGGCAGATAGTTTTAGAGTGATTTATTTTTATTTTTTTATATTGTTTTAAGTTTATTTCCAATAGGAGGATAGTGGGGATTGAAGGGGCCTTGTGCAAATATAAAGGAAGAACTCTGTACTGAGATCACATGCATTTCAAGAGAGGGGGGAGGGGAAGATAGGGAGGGAGGGGGAAGAGAGAGAGAGAGAGAGAGAGAGAGAGAGAGAGAGAGAGAGAGAGAGAATATGCTTGACATCCTATTTCCATCTGAAGCCTTTCCTGTAGATCTGTTTGAAATGTTTAAGGGGGGATATTTATTATAAGTGAGATGCTTCCAGGTTTTCAGAACACCCGCTCCAGGAAGAGAGATGTTTGCAGTGAACGGTGGTGACAGAGCTTTTGAGATTCTACTACTCTGCTTAGATTTGAATCAATTTTCTGTCTTCTGATATGCCTGGGAACAAATGAGGCCCCATCAGGTTGCTGGCCTCGCATCAGATACCAAGTGACATTGTGGCAACACAAGAAGCCCAGTTACCCACAATAAGTAACACGGAGGAGCAGATTGAAGTGAACCAGGCATCGCCAGAGAGTAAAAGTGGAATCCGTATGCATCTATATCTCCACTGAGCTAAGGCCTCAGTATCAAGCCTGTTTTGGCAATCAGGAATGTTTACTTTTATAATATTGATATGAGGCAAATAGAAGAAGAAGAGTATTTTACTTGTATATTTGAAGGCATTGAATCTCCCAGATATTTTGATTTATAGAGAACAGACTGACAGCTGTCAGAAGGGAAGGGGATTTTGGAATGGGTGGAAAAGGTGAAGGGATTAAGCAAAAAAAAAAAAACATCCCACAAAATTCATAGACACAGACAACACTATGGAGATTACCAGAGGTAAAGGGGGCGGGGTGAAGTAGCAGGTAAGGAGGGGGGGTGGCGAGATAGGAGAGGGTACAGGGGGGATAAATGGTGATAGAACGGAGATATGACTTGGGGTGGTGAATACACAATACAATATACAGGTGATGTCTTATAGAATTGTACACCGTAATCCTATATAATGTTATTAACCAATGTCACCCAGTAAATTCAATGATATAGACACAGACAACAGTATGGCAATTACCAGAGGTAAGGAGGGGGGGTGGCGAGATAGGAGAGGGTACAGGGGGGATAAATGGTGATAGAACGGAGATATGACTTGGGGTGGTGAATACACAATACAATATACAGGGGATGTCTTATAGAATTGTACACCATAATCCTATATCATGTTATTAACCAATGTCACTCCAATAAATTCAATGGAAAAGGAAAAGGAAATGGGCTTTACTGGGCTACCTACAAAATACCTTTGAACCTGTTTTCCTCAATCCACCTTTTACCCTGGTAAATCATTAGCTGACAAAAGACAACATAGAATCTCCTGCCACTTGTATTTTTATTTTAAGGCAATGATATTACCTTATATGCTAATGATAATATAAGCCACCAGCCCAAACTGTTAGTCCGTATTAAACTTACAAAGTAATAAAATAAGTCACTGTACTGAAAGCAACTCTGTGATGATGGAGAGAAGAGAGGCTGTCACACCGAAGAAGACATGTGGGACAGTGCTTTAAAGACTTGGCCTCGATTCATTTTCTCCTGCACTTGAGCTTGATTGAATTCATGGATGTGGGACCATGGATAGGGAGGGCCAAATGTACTATTTCTTTGAAGAAAAAAGATACACTACTGTAAATTTTAAAATATCTGCTTTTCATCCTCTTTCTTCTAAACTCATTGTCTGAATCACATTGTCTGACATAATCCCACTTTTAAAAAATATATATTTTTATTGATT